CATTACTGTTTCCTTATTTTAAAAACAAACAAAAAAACCCCAAAACCTGGCAGATGTTGCATATGATGAGAGATGTTGGCTGTGTATTGCAGTTCTTCAGATTCAGGAGCTGCACTGAATCCCATCACTGAAATCTATTTTCTGTTTTCTGACAGCTGTTTTTGCCATTTACTTTAAAAGCAGATGGGGAAAATGCAAAGAAGAGCTGTCAATTTTATTACCATGTATAATCAGCATCTGTGCAATACATCAGACTCATTGCACAGCTTACACTTTCTTCTCTGTAGTAAAAATTCTTTTGGGGTTTCTTGACAAGCTTCTTGTGGACTTTTGTAAATGAGAAGATGCTGGAATTAAAAGTATAGGTTAATTAACTGCTAAAGCCACTACTGTATTGACCAAATTTATTTAATTATAAATTATATGGCTATTTGCCACTCCATATTCAAATTTGTGTTTTCTTGAGGAAGATGTTTTATTTTATTGTTGCTAAATACATTTTTTTAGATACATCTCTGACCCCTTAACATGCATTTAGGTGCAGCACATCTCTGTGCAGTATCTTTTACCTTTCTCTACTGAACGGGCTTAGTATATAGTACCCCATCTGCATGATTTAAAATAAAAATGATTCTGTAGAGAACAGGGTGTTCTTCATTCCCAGTCTACCCTCTTCCCTGGTGCAGAAGTCTTTCATAGTAATGACTTTTTACAGTGGCAAAATAAGCTAGTTTAGAAGTGTCAGTATAAATAAGCATGTTGCCTGTCTCCGTAAGTGTGGAAGTAGTAATCAGTAATGGTGTGCTGCAGGCTTATAGTAGGGAACAGCATCCTTCTGGAAAGTGTCAAGTGATTTACATGTCACAGGGTGCTCTGGGGACCGGGTGGGAAGAATCCGTCTGCTGGCTGGGGACCTACTTGGATTTGATTTGATTAGGTTGGAAGTCACAACTGCAGAAGCACCTTTGTTCCTTAAAATAGTAGGTGGTTGTTCATTACGGTGTCTGCAGTGATAAGCAGGGGGGAAAGGTTTAGAAAAAGAAATGTTCACAGTACATTTCCTAGATAGGAGAGATTAGGGAATAGTCTTCAAAAAAGGTTCCAACCAGTTTGGCAGTGTTAAAAGACAGTAAAACACTTACGTATTGATGCAGGACCTCTTTGAAGTGAAACACTGAAAGCAGCAGGAGACATAATACTAAAAGCATTAATAGTGTTTGTGTGGTGATGGGCAGAGTACTTCTTACACATGAAGAGTGCAAGCTTTGATGAAGCATGTGCTTAACTGTCTTCCTCCATTATCTTATCTTATTAAATATGCTACTAAAATTGACTGTGGCTTTTGAAAAAGTAACTACTAAGGCACTGTTTATGATACATAGATGATCAGTTATAAAAAAGAATGACTTCTGGGATGACTTTCAAAGGACATGTTGTGCACAAAATTTAATACAAGTTCCATGGAAAAATACTGATACTAGCATTTTGTTCTTCTGTACTAGAATGGTACTTCTGGCCATGTCATTTGTGAGCACTTAATAGCTGATTTTTTCAGTAATAGATAACTACAACCCATCCTGTTCCAGAATTAAAAAATTTTCATTTAATATGAGGAATTAATATAAAAGAGTTTTTAATTACTATGGCTTTTATCAGTAGAATGCAAATTTCCTTTCGCTATTAGTCTATCTGTGCTTTGTGACCCTAGAATAGGGTCACATATCTAATTAGATTTTCTCTGGAATAGTGGATGCAAATTTGCACTCTGTGAAATTCAGCTGATTCTAGGAAGACAAAGCAGGAGATTAGAGGATAAGAAAGCTTGAAAATGTGAATTTGATTTACTTTCTTTACAGGCAATGCGGGGTGTAAAAGATTTTTCTTCTGTATTTATACAATCTTATTTTTCCTTTCTTATACTAATCTCATTTTCTAAAATGTGATGTGTTTTAGTTCGTACACTTTGGCGTGAGTTAAGAACAGACATACTTAGATGATCCTACTATAACAAATCCTTTATCCAGAAGAGCTTGTAAATTTATCCCAGCACTGCACAGTCGTTCTATTGGACTATAAATTTCTCACTAAAAGGAAATGTTAGGTAAAATTGACATGGAGTTCATTTTACGTATCCACCAGTGAATTGGTAGTTTGCTCTATTAGAACGGCTAGAAAATTAGCTTTCGGAAATATACTGTAGTAGGACTTCTTCAGGTTTTGGACCTCTATAATTTGTAGACAAATTGGACAGCAGGAAATTAAATCTGCTTTTCCTTCTTAGAAAAAACGGCATAAATGTATCCTATAAGGTACTTCCGTTTATAGAACTAATATATTTTTAAATTAAAAGGGTAAACTGGAAAATACTTTGTGTCTTAATTTAACACTAGACCTTGTCCTTCTCGAGTTACATGCCATATTGCGTCTAGCCAAGAGCATTCTATGTTTAAAGATAGGTGAACATAGACTGGAGCCCCTCCAGCACTAGGTTACGATTCTCTACATCATGGACTAATAAGCAGCATTTATAAACAAGGCTTGTGACAGCCTCATGTGGGAGCACTGCCACTGCAATATCTGTCTTTCTCATATAGACAGAGGCATTTTTCCCCAGTGTCTCTCTCTCCAGTGATTCGAATCCTCGTCTGTAATATGGCCTAATCCTTCCTTGTCCCTTTTCCCGCGTCCTCCCCTTTCCAGTCCTCTGCGCACGCCCTACGTATTTCCCTGTGCAAGAGATTCTTTGGCTGCTTTTCAAAGCAGCACACCTGATAAATGTCTGGCCCAGCTATCCCTGGTGGTTAGGCAGTTGGTTGCTGCCAAACAGAGTGTGTAACAGGAATGGATGTATGGCTGCCATTCCCTTCATGACTGGGTTAATTTAGTTTCTCAACTTCTTCCCATTGCTCAAATAAGGAAACTTTTAGAAATGTACTATCTGAAAGTTTTACCTCTCTCTGACATAGCCAGCTAAGTAGAAAACTATCTAGATTATAAGCATGCATAATCTTTATTTTCTGGGAAAACAGCTAAAATTGTAGTGTAAGAACAGAAAATACTTGGCTTTGGTCTAGCTTGGTGTTGACCTTTAACTTAAGCAGTTTTTACTTATTCAAATGTTTGCCTTCTGCGTCTACTCAAGTGTACTGGAGAAGAGTGACCTTGATCCTTTATAGCCGAGTCCACACTCCTGGTCAGATGCAAAATGTGTTTCATGGGTTCAAAAGGCTCGGCTGAGGTGAAGAAAGCAAATGAAAGAATATCGTGTTTATGGAAAAACGTTAACAGTCTTGTGCCATGGGATTCACTGCAGTGTTTAAAATACACCTGAAAACTGTAGCAAGCAACATTTTCCTAGTTAAGGACTTTTTAAAATATGAACCCTGTCTAAAACAGCTTTGATGAAATGAGATTTCCTGTGTGTCAGGAAGATTTTTTTATGCTTTTTTTTTTTTTTCTTGGCTACTTTATAAGCCATTCAAGATTAAATTTTGCTAAGGTAAAGCATGGTCAGACCTAAGAAATTTTGAGTATTAAGTGTATAAATGTCTCCATCTGAGCAAAACTTTACAAAAGCAGTAAAAAAAATCTTTCTTCAGTTCAGCTATACTGTGATGTCTGGAGAAACTTTACAAAAAGAAATAGTTGTAGTAAGAATAGATTCTTGGAAAGGCTTACTCAAAGTGAACATATGAGCTTATTAGTTACACTGCACACGCAGAGACTTGTATGTCTCTTTATCAGAGCAAAAGTGAAACAGAAGAGAGTTAAAGGACAAGGGTAAAAGGAAAAAAAAGGCTAATATTCCTTCAAGTAGGTTTAAAAAGCCTTTTGACCTTAGATTCTGAGTCAATGTCTGAGTGATTTAAAAAAGTGCAGTAAATTTTACAGAATTTTGATTCCTTATATGAGATGGACTTTTGGCATCGTCTTTATGTACTTAGGTCACAGTAAGAGTTGATACCTGTGCATGAAAGAGGGAAATAGAAAGCTGATTTGATAAACATTGTATGTACATTTGAATAATACTGCCTTTTCCTGTTGTACCTTTTAGTATCAATAGTTTCATTCCTTATGTCTACATGATAGAAATTTTTGCACTGCCAGAACCATGAAATACTGTGGTATGTGAAGAAGTAGCTTCTATTTTAAATGTACTTATCGCTGAATCTGTTTTGACTTGTTGGGAAGTGGGCCATGGGTCTGTATCAGCATAGATTTCCCAGATGCAAAGCTCTGGAAGTTCAAAAAATTCTTGGAAAACTGTTTCCATCGGCAAATTCACACTCTGGAGTATGGCGAGTTTCAGTCACAGTCACTATACATACAAAGCAAACATGGCCAGTACCATAAACTACAATTTTAGATAAAAATACTTGTTTAAAGAAGTTAGAAGTGTGGCTGTGCAATCCTAGTATTATAACTTAAAGAAAATGAGTTATGTACTGTATCTAAAGAAATCATGCGTGCATGTTTAAAAATACAGCATTTGCCTTACTGCAGGTAGAAACATATGTTATTTGTTCTATAAGAACATTCCTCTCCCCTTTTTTATGCTTTGCATATTTTGATGATTAACTCACAGAAGTTTTTAGACATTTCTGAATAAAACTTACTGTAAAAATTGCTGTCTGTGTATAATACATTAGGATTCAATTAACACTAGCTCAAGTTTTAATTTTTTAATGACATTTCTAGCTTAAATTTTACAAAATTCTTGTGTGCTCTGAAAACAAGTTTTCTTTAGATACAGAATCAAGATTGGGGTTTAATTTACATCATTACACTCTATAGGTTGAAGTGTTTCGTGTCACAGACATAAACTGATTTTTTTGTGATGAAAACTGGAATGAAATTTGTTTCTCAAGATAAAAATTATACTGAAAAAGAAAGCCACAGCAGCCTTCTTTGTAAAAGTCTATCCCTTCTAGTTTGTTATAGCTTTAGATTGCTGTTTGGCTTGGGTTTTGTATTTTTATGCTGTTGCTCTTCTTTTGCAGACGGTTAGAACAAAATTCAATCAAGGTCATACCTCCTGGAGCTTTCTCACCATATAAAAAGCTACGAAGAATGTACGTACCAAGTAATTTAGATTTAATTTTTTATTTTCATACATATATATACACACACATATTTTTACACATATATATGTAAAAACGAAAACCAAGTCAAGGTCATACAGAGGAATTGCACTTGATGTGTGAGCATTTAAGAAAATTTGACTGATATGGCAGCCTGATTATTAAGACCATCTTTGTCACATTAATAATAATTGTTTTTTAAAAGTATTGAAACTATTTAATGTGGTTCTGCATAGAAGCAATATGTTACTGTAGTGAATGCTCCATAAAAAAAAGAATAAATTAATGGAGACAAGCCACTGTTATTTCAGAGTATCTTTGAGGCTGTATACTCCTGTGGCCATAGCAAACAGAGAATTCTTTTTAAAATGTACTTAAGCAATTAGAAAAATAAATATTTTTGCATTTATTTCCAAGCATATGAAAGGTCCATTTTTAACCTTGCCTTTTGTTTCAGTGTATTGGCAATTTAAATGATTTTTATTAAAATTCTTTGGCAGTGTCTCACATAAATATTTTAATTTCTCTCTCCCTTCCGTGCCTAATTCTAGTTATGTATTATTTTTATGTTTGCTATTTTGAAAATAGCTTGAATTAATTGAATCAAATGTCATTTATTTCAGTGACCTAAGCAATAACCAGATCTCTGAAGCAGCTCCAGATGCATTCCAAGGCTTACGTTCACTCAATTCACTGTAGGTATACCTTTAACCTGTAAAAACAGAAGCAAATTTCTCATATTCTTATAGTGAAATTTTTTTGGCTCTCTGCAGAATTTTCATATAAATTCAATTAATTCTGAAAGCTGTAAAATAATTTCAGAATGTTAGAGTGATAATTTAATATTTTATCACAGCTGGACACTAAAAATGTATGTTTTTTTATAAATACATTCATGGCAAAGAGTTGAACAAAATCAAACATTTCTTTTGTTCCCCAGTTAGTTGTTCTTACAAACAGCAAATCCACTTACCAAGATCCTTTGGTAAGGCCATAAACAGTGAGGTGCTGATTCTGCTGAGAGCAATTTGGGCAACGCACCTTTTGGGAAAATGTGTGATCCTGCTACCTCACAGGACCACAAGGATCTTGCAAGTATCAAGTCGTTGCTGTTAAATTCCCTTCAGGAAAATGGAAATTTCTTTATTTTTAAAGTCAAAATCACATAGTATATGCTTTTCATAATGGCTGCTTTGCTTTATTATTTCCTGGTACAGTGTTCTCTATGGCAATAAAATTACAGAACTTCCAAAGGGCCTATTTGAAGGACTCTTTTCTCTGCAATTGCTGTGAGTATTTTTTTAATATTTATTTGACTTTGGGATAACTCAGAAGGGTAAACTTGATAAGAGATATATGGTTGAGAACTGGCAGGAAATCCTGTATGTAAGATCAGAGATAATAAAAACAACTTGTTTTAAAGCCAAAGGAGTCAAGACTGTTTTAGGCCAGCTTGCCATTCATCCACAAATCTGATCATATCTCAGTTAATGTCTCAGCCTAAAATTATTAAAATGAAAATATTCCCTTGTATAGAATTTATAATGATAAAACACATAGGGTATGATACTGTCTTGCCCTGTAAATGGCAAATAGTATGTATAAAGTTGTGTGGGAACCACAGAAGGAATATTTGTATATTTTATGCAGAGAGAATATGTAGTGGAAATGCTATGTAACTGTATTTCTAGTTGTGCCCATGGAAGAACAGAGTTGCAGTACAGTTCTGACACTCATCTCTGTACAATTCTTTGATTCTGTGAACTCCAGCTGCTATTTTGTTCTAATACTTCAGAAATTTCTATGTTTAATCTTATAAACCATTTCTATTTAGATTTAATTCTGGGAATGAAGAAGAATGCCCTGGTGATATGTTTATCAAGTATTGTCAAAATTTAGCACATGAGGCTGTGCACTAGTTGTACTGTGTAAAAGAAACCTGTGAAATAGGCCATAACACAACGGTGGTGGTTTTGGAAGAAATTGTCCCAGAATAGCTGACTTGTTGATTTAAAGCTTCCTCTTAAAGACTTTAAAACTTCTTCCCACATGACTAAAAGTATTTCATGTCCAGACTTCACAGTGTAGTGACTGGCAAAATGTGTGTTATTAAAAACTCATTGAAGATGGCGAAACAGTAAGCGAATACAAAGAAAATGCAAGTTCTAGCACCACCTAGAGGTTTACATTTTGATTTATTTTAGGCATAAACCAGTATAATAGTGGGGTGGTATGCATTCCTGTTTTCCTTTAAAGAGATTTTAGTTACAAAAACATATTTCAGAATTTGTTAAAAAAAAAAAGGAAGAGACATCTCTGAACTTGTGTTTATTCTGTATTAAAAAAATATCCACAGCTTGATATACTTCGCATAGACAATACATTTTAGTCTAAGTAAACTTCTACTTGTGTAGTGAAACTGTTTATCAGAGCATTGGTTTTGAAATCCACTATTCCATTCCATTTCTGGCTGGATATGGGAAAAAAATAAAGAATTTTTGGTTATAAAAATGCATCTAGTTGATGACACTTTTTTTTTTCCTCTTGAAAAGCATTAAGGAGTTGATTTAGATTGGCTTGTTTGTTTTAACTCTAGAAGTCTTGGAGGTACAGGGAAGAAAAGGTTCCCTTTAAAGATGGAGAGGAAAAAGGATCCAAGACAGATTTGGATATATTCCATGCCACCAGTTTTTACTACAACTCTGTTAATGCGGCAGCATGCTGATTAGTAACATATAATTAAAAGTGCCACTGCACATCTCTTCCAGCTAATGAACACAGTGTTCAGTTCCTTTTTTGTTTGTTTATTTATTTGGCCAAAGGAACTAGATTTCCTTGCAGGTACTTGATTTTTTAAGCTTGTTTCTTTGCACAGACAAATACCACACACACACGTTCTACCAGCACATACAAGAAATGTGATTTTAGCTGAACAAACCCACACATTTCAACTCCAAGGTGCAAATATAGAGGAATTATATCAGAGCACGTTAAGGTATTTCAATTCACTGAAATCCCTTATGTCACTGTCAATTAATATTTGTTACTATATCTCTTGTTCTGGTTACAAATGCACACTAAGAATTATTTGTGAAGAATGCTGAAGCGAATTCTTTCAATTTTATAATTGTCTTCCATTAAACAGATTATTGAATGCTAATAAGATCAATTGCCTGCGAGTTGATGCTTTTCAAGATCTGCACAACTTGAATCTTCTTTCTTTGTATGACAACAAGCTTCAGACCATTGCAAAAGGCACCTTCTCACCCCTCCGTGCAATTCAGACCTTGTATGTATGCTTTAGCTTGTGGTTGTCTTTAGTATGACTTCATGTTCTACAATGTACTAAAAATATGGGGAACTGCTGAGACCAAAGGGAAATAATGTGTGAAATTATGATTTTTTTTCTTCATGAAAGGCATTTGGCTCAGAACCCATTTATCTGTGACTGTCATCTGAAGTGGCTGGCGGATTATCTTCATACAAACCCCATTGAGACTAGTGGTGCCCGTTGCACCAGCCCCCGCCGTCTGGCAAACAAAAGGATCGGCCAGATCAAAAGCAAGAAATTCCGCTGCTCAGGTAATTTTCTTAGTTCAGCTGCTATTTTTCTTTTATTGGCAAAAACAGTGGTTATAGAAGTTCTAATGAAGGCAGCTGGCTCTCTATGGAATTATTAAACATTGCAGAATCTTTTTTAGTTCTTTGACTGAAGGAGGGGAGATCATAGGCTATTGGATCATGGAACATTACTATAGTTAACATGTTTGGCACTATTTCTGAGTAGCATTAAATCTAACAAAAGAAATGCAATATATAATACTTCAGAATGAAATGCTAAAGTTATTCACCACAAGTATGACCAACATAAATAATTTTGTAAAATTTCCACAAGGCCCTGGAGTATGTGAAAGATCTAAAAATTTCTAGCTAAATATGGAAACATGACATATTCACTTTGTACAGGGAGCTTACCTCATACTGAAATTTACTGTTTTCTTTTTCTAATCTTACTCCATTTCCTACTTACATTTCTCTAAATCCTAACTGTTGTCATATGGTATCCAGCTGTTCCAGGTGCATTTCACATTCTACAATTTATTCAGTCTCAAGTGCAAATACCAGATGAGAACTGTTTGTTTTCCATGTTCCGGATACATTTATGACTATTCACACTTTGTTGTTTATCAGCTCTCTTTGTGAATACACATTTTTTCACTTAATTATCTGTAGTTAACTGTAGTCCATACTTAATCTAATAAAACTCATTCTTTGCTTGCTGACATTCAGGTGCATCTTCTATTTTTTTTTTCTCTTTATTTAGCTAAAGAACAGTATTTCATTCCAGGTAGGTTTGGCTCTGCAGTAAGATTGACTAACTGCAGATACTCTCTCCCTTTCCCCCCAAAAGCAAAGTTTGTTATAGCTTTTAGGAAACTGATGCATGTGTATTAACATTAGTCAATACCTGTAGCTAGACATAGTTTTCCTTTGTAGATTACTAGTAGTTCTGTTTTCTGAATGTAAGAGCTTAGCATGCAGCTCCATTTACTTTTTTTGTCTCACAAATTTGCACACAACCTACCAAAATTACTACTTAAATTATTTAGAAGGTTGCACCTGCTAGTTCATATTTCAATTGAGACCTTTACTTACCTTGTACTTCACCTTTCTGCCACTACTGTTTTTAAAATGTAGCTCCTGAGCTGCTTTTAAAGGCAGGAAAACATACTACCATCAAAGAGCTAGTGCAACTTTAAAAAAAATATATACAAATGAACATTTTCTTGCTTTGCTTTCATGCTCTACACTGGCTGCAGCTACTGCTTGCTCACCCTCCTGTGTTTGCTAAATCACAGTGGAACACTTGGAAAAGAAAGCTGATATTCTTCATTAAAGGCATTCTGTGGTCACACACTTACAATGAATCAGAAATGCTTTCCATTAAAGAAAATGTGACTTTAGAGTTGGGGTGAAACAACAATTTACACACAGCTTTAAGCTACAATAAATCTATGATATTTTCACAAAAGATTTACTGATGTTGGCCCTAGCTCTTTGAAATACGTTTCTTTCTTTATTTTACCTTGCTTGTCAGGTGTGTGCACTGATTTCTTAATAGAAGAAAAAACAATTATGCACTTGCATTATGTTCTTAACAGATTATAAATGATTGACTGGCAAAATAAATAAGGGAATAATGAATCTGTTGATGAATTACAGTATGTGATTTGCAAGAAGGTTTTTCTACCATAGTTTAATATCTAGAAAAATATCTACAATAATTGATTATGACACCAGTGCATTTGTTCTTTCAAGAACAACAGGTATATTGTCATTCTGCAGTGATTGAAGTACTGATTTATTGATTGGTCTTAGTCTTTGTCTTCTAAGCTGGTATGTTTAACAGCTCTTCTCCTAATGCTGTGTGATGTATCACTTAAATTTGCAGCAATCATGTGAAGTTCTTCATGCCCTCATACTAATATCTTGGTTTGAATATGAAGAGAAGACAAAATGAAATACAAAATAAAGCAGCAATTTGTCAGCATTGGCAGCCGCGAAAATGTGTTTTAAAGCAGCATAAAACAGAGAGGGATTCAATTTCTCAAACCTATAGTACCACTCAATTCCTTAATGAGTAGAACAGCTGTATTCCTGCCACAGAGTGACTTCTACTCAACCTTGCCAGCACAACTTTTGTCTCAGAGTTAGAAGTGTTTTCTTGCCAGCAAATGTCTTCACAGCCTGTTTATAATATGACCACACATGCAGTTTAAGTTTGTTTACGTACCCTTTAAAAAAATGCTATTCCTGGGGAAAAAAAAAAAGGGGAGGGCGGGGGAAGAAAAAGAATCAAATTAATCAAAAAGTGCTGCAGGCTTGCTTCTTGAAATACACTTTCTGTTCTTTCTATTAGGTTATCAGGGAGTTCCTGCATAAAATTCTTTTAATTGTTGAAGACCTTGTCCCTGAATATTTTAGTTATTTACTTTAAACTGCTAATACTGATTTACTCTGGATACAGGAGGAAAAAAAATGTATTTGTAGCCTTGCTTTTTGGGTATTAATAAGTGCTAAAGCCACTTCTTTACACTTCAGTAAATACTGTAAAAATGTTAGCATTCCTTTAGAAACTTAAATATTTTTTATATTTGTTTAAAATATGTCATCAGGAGATCTTGATCTGCAGACACTAGGAAGTCTTAGTAGAATTTCATTATAGGAATTTGGAAGACTAAAGGTTATACAAGTATTAAATCATTAACTGTAAAATCATTGAATCATTAATTAGTAAAAATATTGTTTGTCTGCTAGCTCATAGAAATATTCCATGTGGTTATATCATATGTGTTACTTAGACATTTAAAAGCACTAGATAACAAAATATGAGATGACTGTTGAGGTTTTTTTTCCTCCCCTGAGGAATCTGTTTCTCCTGTGTTTCTCTGGTTTATTAAGGTTTTAAGTGGCATAGCATTTAAGGTATTAAGTGGCATAGTTCAAGGGAGCGGCTTTTAAAGAATACATTCAAAATAGTGAACAATAATGCATGGGAGGCATTATCATCCTATATGAAATCTGTAATTATCCCTAATCTTTTCTTCATTTTTTAATGCCACTTAAAATTAATTATTCTTTCTCTCTGCTGAAGACGGTACCCCTTAGCAACATCTTCTAATCAAACTAAAGCTGAGTAGAGAACATGAGAGCTTAGTTCATGTTTTTGTCTTAATTGGGATTACTCTGTCTTTCTTTCCTTCTTGGCTATCTTTACTTTTGCAGGAGTTCACCATTTTGGCTGTAAGTAAAGTTCAGTGTCTGAGCTAAATCACAATGTACCTCCCAGCCCTGATGCACCTTCTACTAGTCTCAGTCTTTTCACCTTTGTCCAAGAAGAACCCACAGGTCCTTTCAGCTTCTCTTTGTTTTCTTTGTCACCCACCCTCAATTCCTTACCGGATGTTTCCTCCTGATATGTTTAGGACGTTTTCTTTAACTGACTCTGGGAAATGGTGGAGGAAACTTTCAATGTGGTTCAATTTTTTTGTACTTTTTATTTAATCTGTGACAGTAATACTGTTACTGTGGCACTGGACATTCAGTAATAAGAATGCCATGTCATGTAAGCAAGTATTATACTTCAAATGCTTCTGTAACTTATACCTACTCCTTCCTCTTTTCCCTTGCTCTTATCCTTGGCCTAATGGATGCAGTTTTGATAATGTAGCGAGATTTTCTGTTGTGCTTGATCTAACCATGTGGTTGTGAGGTATGAGTAAAACATGGTTCTGTCAAGCACCATGGAACGTCACGCAGCTTTCTACAGCATGGCAAGCTGCTGAGGCTTAAGTCAGGATCACACATTTTTTAAATTAAAGCTGAAAACAGGGCTTTCAATCTTACATGTCTGAGATGATGTGGAGTATCGGGACCATAAAAAAAAAAAATCACAGAGGTTAATGAAGTCCGGTCAACAATACAAATTTCTAACAACAGAAAGAGAAAAGGTGGCATTCAGGATCTATTTATTCTTGATAAAGAGAAAGAAAATAAATTCTAAAAGAATCAGTGGCATTTGTGTGATTAGCTATAAACAAGGCTAGATTGGCTGACAACATAATCAGCAGAAAGTACAGCTGTGAAAAGCTCAAGTTAATGTTATCCTGTTATGTGAAGTTGGTCACAGTTTCTTTTTCCAGCATATCTTAAGCCCCTATATTTAACCCTCTCTTGAAGCCCTTGTGTCTGTTCAGTATCACAAAGTTTATCATACATTTCCCAAGTTGCCCACCCGTTATCTGCATTGCAGATATCTTTTCAACTTTCTCACAAGAAGCAAATCTTATATTTTATTGACTCAGTATCTGTATTTTGACTTGACTCTTCCACAGGCACTGAAGATTACAGATCCAAATTAAGTGGAGACTGCTTTGCAGATTTGGCTTGCCCTGAGAAATGTCGCTGTGAAGGGACCACAGTGGACTGCTCCAATCAGAAACTCAACAAAATTCCTGATCACATCCCCCAGTACACAGCAGAGTTGTAAGTTGAACCCATAATAAAGCATTATTTGCTTATGGAAAAACTAACTGCAATTTTCAAATATAAAACCACAGCTTTACTTTTTTGAAAAACAAGAATTAAATGTAACCTCTGTGGTGCACTTCAAAGGACTAGATACTAATCAAAATTATTTATGCACCATTTCATTACCCTGTAGCCTTAAAAAATTATGATAAATAAATAAGGTAACTATTCTATGTTTCTAGTTCTCCAGTACATGAGCTACCCACCTGGATTTTTTTTGAAAGGTAGTGGGGTTTATTTTGCTTTTTATTTTAACGAGAGCAAGTAGGACATCCAGTAACCAGGGGTCTGTCTTAAAAAGTGCTATCTAGGCGTTTAAAAAAATGGAGCTGATTCTTCTTATGCAAAGCACACATTATGCGTGTCAGGCAGGAGACCAGAGGAAGATAAAGCAGACAAATAAGACAGAGTTGGGTTAAGAAGATGAGATAACAATATAATGAGCAGAGATGAGCAGAAAAGAAGTCACAGATTATTACTTGCTTAATAAGTGCCATGTGGGAATGATTTGTAGGCATTAAAACTGAAGTGGTCTTCAAGAGGGATTGAAAGATAAAATTAAGACAGCTTTACAAGGTTTTCCCATGCGCAAAGCATAGTATGAAAGGGAATGCAGAGATGCTTGAAGGATCAGCAGAAAGGCAGGAGATTAGTGTGGCCATCATTGGCAGAGCAAAGGCAGGAGGAAATAGCTGTTTTTTCCAGGCGATTCAGTGTAAAGAACATGGCAGAATGTTGAGTGGCAAAAGAGGGGGACTTTGATTTGATGAAGTAAAGCGGGGACAGAGATGTTGAGTACACAGGAGTACTGTGATCAAGTTGTGATGCACAGGGGTGAGGTGAGCACCAGTATCGCGCATCTCTTAAAAGATAATCAGTCTGCAGCTGGCACCAAAGCAACAGTCCAGCAGTGAAGGTATGCAATATAAGACCATGGCTAAGGATTTGGACTATCTGGGCAGGAAAAGGAAAATCTGAGATAAAATTACTTGAATTGAAGAATAAAAACTGATGGAATGGGTAGCAGATTAAAGTGTAGGAGGAGATCATAAAGTAATTGTTGTAGAAATCATAGTTACTGAACCAAGACATGAGCAAGTGATGCATTGTCTTGATTCTTAGCAGGATTCATTTTTAATTCTCTCTGCTCTGAAGAAATAATAATCTTAATTAGTATTTTAATTGTTGATTTTCATATTCATTTATTTACATGTGGAAGATAAACTGTCAAGTGTTTTCTTTCTATAATTATGATCCATATGTATTAAATTCAAAAGAAAAAAATCATCAAGCCTCATCTGCTGTGTATCCTAAACTCTCAAATTTCAGTCAACAAAAAAATTGTGTTTGACTAAAACATAATTCGTGTTGGTTACAACACTTCTTTCAGAAAACATACAGTCTTATTTAAAGGTATCAGTGGATTAAAAATCCACCACTTCCCTGAGAGTGTTACAGAAGTTAATCATCTCCCTTCACTTCTGTTAAAACCTTTTGAAATTGGAACTTTTACTTGCAAGTGGAATCTGCCTCTCTTCAGTTTCCATCACTGCTTCTTTTATATTTTTTGCCATTAAAGAGCCTTTTTCTATCCAGCACTTTATCCAAGTAAGATGGTCTTAAACTGTAACAAGGTCACTATTCAAACTTCTTCTTGATAAACTGTACAAATTGTTCTTCAAGTCTTTTGATGTAATAAAAAGCTGGATAGAGGGGATAGAGAAATTATTTCTGCATTTTTTTTACTTTCTCTAAAAATCCAAGTACTGTAGCTAAATACACTCTTCTGGTATTTGCCTCACTGACGCAGAAGTTACAGCTCTTTCTCTTGTTTCCTCCTGTTACTCCTGGTCTTTGATGTACTGCCTTTGTTTCTCCTCTTGGGACTTCCCAGTGGTCCTAGGACCACTCTGTGATTTCCAGTTCACAACATTTACTGGCATATATGAGAAGAGCAGCTAGTTAGCCCTTCTTTTCTTTTGCCCACAAAATTTGAGATAAAGATACTTGTTGGAGTCAAATGACATTGATGCTCCTCTAACAGTGATGAGGAAGGCTAGATTGTTCTCTGCAGGGTGTTTGGAGCTGAGACTCAGCTTGGAAACAAAGATCAAAAGTGAGGAAATGTCTAGATTTCTTTAGTTTTCTCTGGCAAAGATTTATGTTTCTCAAATAGTTTGTCTAATAGTTTGTCACAGAACTCAAATAGAGTTCTGTGATTCTTTTAAGTCCAAGGACATGGGACAAGAAGGGAGGGCGGGAAAAGAATGTGCCTTCTTTTCATCCCTTATCTCAGAAGGTTTTGAAAATAACAAGAGTCCTGTAACCTCCAAGAGAACTCGTATCACGGATCCCCTGGGGCGTGGCACTCTCTCAGAGGGCTATAGGGAACAAAATAAGTATTTTTGTAGTCTGATAGAATAATATAATGAATGAAGTTTTGTTGGCACTATCATAATATATGGTATGCAGCATGCAATTTAATGGATTAAAGATAGTGAACTACTTTTGTCTCTGTCATTCTAGGGCTGATTGGTCTAGTGAAAAATACTGTACTAATCCTGAGTTCAAGAAAGTATGTAATGCTTCTTTTAAATCTGCTTTTAAATGTCCTCTTGAAAATACTTACTTTCTGTACTCAGAAAGAGTACATCAACTGGCAACTTTGGTGTTTCAGCTCAACAAATGGCAGTGAACAAGAAGAAAGTTTTCTGACAAAGAGTTTGAAGGTGGTTTTTCTAATCAGTTTCTCCTTCCTGATTTATTTGGCCATATGACCTGCCTAGAGTATTGATTGTGTAGATTGCAACGGTAATAATATCACATCAAAAAAACTATTTCTTCAGAGTAATTGTTTTAAAAAAACCTGAAAGTAGTAATGCAGTTAGATAATAAGTAAGATAGATACTTAATTGTAAAAGGAGCCAAGTGCTGTTCTAACTGTTTCTATTTTGTCACTTGCTCAGTCTTCCAGGAAAACAGTGAAAGACCTGTCTAATCTGCCACTGAAGTATTTAAGTACAAGCCTGTAAATGCATCCCATAAATAAAATATTTTTCAGATAGAATTCTAATATATATGAAAATTCAGGAAGCATTTGATAAATCACTCAAACCAGAATGCCCAGGGGAAACTGTAAATAAAAATAATTTTAGTCATATTTGTTCAGGTTTTGTAATGATTGTACAATATGTGATAACATACCAGATCCTAACAAGATAGTTTTCGAAAGCATGACTATCACTGCGGTACAGAGGTTCAGCAATTGTACCAAAACAAGCAAATATCTTGCCCATTGCGTTAATAAAACAGGAAAAAGCATCAAATAAAACAGAGAAAGAGAATATTTAAGACAACATCATCAAATGCTTCTTTGTTTGCTTTTTTTCTTTTGAGAATGACGTTTCAGTATTTTTCTTTGAATAAACCAGACACGAGTATTTTTATCCTTTTCATGATCCAGTGATTTGCAAGTAACAACTGTCATTATTGCCTTTACCAGTAAAGAGAACTGGGCTCAGAAAATAATGATATTAAGATCCAGAAGGAAGATATCACCACATCTGTTAATTTTCCAATCATCTGTGACAATTTTGATTCCTCTGTGTGTGGTATCACTTACCATGATAATAGAATGAAAACTTCTTGCACAAGTATTTAACAATTCCGGATCTAAAGCCAGCACTCTCCAGCCATATCAATGTCATATGATCCATGTGATCATTCCTCTGTGAACAAACCCATAATTTGTAACACTTGATGTCCCTTTATTTGTGATCTAACAGATCTAACCTCAATGATGATGCATGAATTGTGATACCACCATATATACAAAGCTAGAGAGAAGATACTATTTCTTCTACAGTTTTAACCAAACACAATACTGTGATTCAACCCATGCTTCTTCTCCATCATAGAGAAGTATGGAGAAACTTCTCAAACAGTGAAAATTTTCAAAACACATGGAAAATTCTTAAAATTGTTCTGTGATATTGATGGTAGACTAACAGTAGTTTAAATAAAATAAAAAATAAAATTATGCATGTGACATTAGGTAGGACTAATTAGCACCACAAATAGAAGATTGAGGAATAACCAGCAAGTAGTTCAACAGAAAAGGCTATGGTGGTGTCATCAAATGTATTAAAGATGAAGGAGTGTCATTGGGCACTGCTACAAATTTCATTTTGGGATGCATGTACAGGAGTGTAATACATAAGTTATATGAAATAATTGTTTTACATTTCATAAATGCAATAAAATATCAGCTGGAATACTGTATCAAGGACTTCTCTTTTCAAGAAAAAACTCAAGAACAAGATTCATCTAGAAAAGAAGACTTGTGAGGAAAAACTGAAAAGATGAATGCATTTGTGTGAAGGAAACTTGAGGGACAAAGTAAAGTTATTTTTAATATGTGAAGGATTGTTGCAAAGAGGGAAGGAACAAATTGTTTGCCTTTTTCAGTGGGGTTAAGAAAGTTTGCAGTAGAGCAGAGCAAGGAAGAATTATTAGAATCAATAAACATTTTCACAATCAAGGCATTTTACTAGATGATATAGCACTTGAAAAGTACTTGAAAATGCCAGCATTTATAGATTGCTTGGTGCTTCCATTGTTGATGGATAGGAAAAAAAAGGCTGCTTACAATTATGATGTAACTATGTTTATTGACTCTGTGCAAAAATTCATTTGATAGGGTCCCACTAAAAATCGCATTAAGTCATGCAGCTGATTTTCAGAGGTGGTAACATCTTTTGAAATTCATGTTCCTTGGACTTCAGTGTGGTATACAAATGTTCCATGTATATTAAAAAAACTCTTCCTGTCTTCCCTCAGTTTGGTTCAGTGCTGAAACTATTGTACAGCCATACCTTCAGATTTACAACCTTCATTTCCCCTCTGGCTATGATTGGGAATGAGCAGGAAGGAAGGATGAATGAGCAGCTTGCTTTTATTTTCTAGAGGCTTTTTAATCTTGTCTTGCAATAAGGCAATTCTGAAAAGCATTCTGTGTTTGGAATTATGCTGAATTTCATTTCATGGTGCTATTGGCAGTCATCTCTTTTCCTTCCTATTTAAGATCTCTAAATAAAAGCTGGACCGACTCTCTTCCTTAATAAGATGACTCCATTAAAATATTTAAAGACTTCAAGACTCATAATTTCTATTTTCTTTTCAAGAGAGAGTATGGGAAATGCTGGCTCAGTGCAGGTATTTTTTGAAATATAGACGGTCCCCTACCCAAGCAGCTGCTAAAGGCATACTGTGCGGGAACAGCCTTGATACCTGGACAGGAAAGATCAGTATCCAGATAGTACTTGTTACTCACTGTATACCTTCTTGAAGTGTTACAAAGCAGCATTTAATGCTTCCTTGTGCAATGTATGTATGTTAGGTGTAGTGATCTAAAGACAAACCATGGTAAAAGAAGTGTTTTTAAATTCTTGGGAAGACCTATGCAGTGCGTTTCAGTCCCTCAGTCCCTATTCAAAGGAAGCATTGAGCATAAAGTAATTATTTAATTCTTGTAAGTAGTGTTCTGTGAGCACCTCCAGATGTCTGACAGACCCCACCTGATCTCCTTTAAAGAACAGTAAACTAATCTTCAGTGGTTCTTATATACTTCTTAAAGATTTTTATTTATAAGTTGCCATGGAATCCTTCCTTAGTTACATTTTTGTTTTTCTTCCCCTAAAAGAAAAATTAAAAATATCTTCTTACCCTTCTCTGCAGTTTTAGTTGTATGATGTTTTGTGATCTGGTTTTGATTCTGTATGTCTTATGTATGCCTAAGTTTAACTAATGAGAATGTTCATTCACAGGAATTATCAGAATTAGACATGTCAGTATATATGGAATTGTTCTTCAGCTACCAGTTAAATACCAGCTATTCAGTTAAACCTGACTGAAAAGCTCAGTTAGTGTTGAGCATTCTGTACCAATGCCTGAATATTTTTTCTGAAATCGATGCCATTTCTTGTAGGCGACTAAATAACAACGAATTTTCAGTCCTGGAAGCTACTGGAATCTTTAAGAAACTTCCTCAGCTGCGTAAAATGTAAGTGCAACTTCGGCGACCGTGTCTGTTCAGGTAGCACTTTAGTTCCTTGCTGTGTTTCTCCACCTTCCTTGGTTCTTATCTATAAAAGAATCAATATATTTTAAGCAAAAATCAAGAATGGGTTTAAACTAATCACTGAGGTAGATCGGAGCTGGCAGCTCTTCCCTATGGGACTAGGCACTGCCAGTAACAGCTTCTCATGGTGTGTAGCTCCAGCACCTTCACTGCAGTGTCCATCCAGCTGGTCTTTTATGCAGCCACAGCAGGGAGCTCACAGTATAAGCTGCTCAAAAAAGGTTCCAGTAATCTTTTGTAACTTCCTGTACTACTCCCTAACCAGGCAATTTTGCCTCTTTCAGCACATTCAAGACATGCCTTTGATTCTGTGCTTCATTAAACTGTCATTATATGAGGGAAATATCGAAATTAAATGGCTAAGAAAAAAATGGTTTGGTAGCTCATCCATGTTAAGTCCATGTTCACAGTTTATGTTCTAAGAAGAGTTTATAATCTTACCAGTTGCAGATGTTATTAAAAATAAATCTATGAGAAGCTTTTTGTTTGCTTATATAAAAGATATATTTGAAGGTAGATCATTTAGTTAGACTTAGTGACTCTGTGCTCAATCTTTTCAGGGTTAAATCCAAACATAAATAGCAAGTGAAGAGAAATGCAAGTAAAAATAGATCAGATTAATGAAAATGATACAGTGCTTTTTGAACGTAGTCACCAAGTTACTACCATTTGTAAAAGGTCACTCTACATTAGTAGTGACCAAAATCTCAAGGGGAGCAATAGTATTACTTAAACTATCGTTAGCCTTTATCCACATCCTTGCTGGCAGCTGTCATGATCACAATTAGTTAAACACTTATTACTGATTTTTTAAGTTTTTAGTACATTAAACGTTAAAATCAAAAATATAAAAAACAACTTTGCTTTTGACCTATCTGCTTGAGTACACCTTGCCACTTTGGATTGGGCTGAGATACTTAAAAAAAGAATGTAGGAATGTCTGGCACAGCAAGTGTGCTGGTGTTACACAGTAGATACCCAGTTTTCTTCATTCCTCAAGGATGGCAGATTAGCACTTTTTACACATATAGAGTGCCTTTAAAATAAATAAAATACTTGATGTGGAATACATACACATGCACACACATATATCAGTTCTTCATATTTAAGAAAAACAGGGAAAAGGCAATATATTGTCAGTAATTACTTATTTTCAGGCTATAAAGATAGTTTAGTAAACATTTCATGTCAAATAAAGCTAGTTTGCTGCTTTTTAGCTGAGGAGGTATTCAAGACGAAAGGAAAAAAAGCAACAATATTAATCAGTCTTAGTCTAGCTGTCTGCTGGAACTCCCAAAAGCTTTGAAATCGGAATAATTGAAGATGAAAAAAATTGAGATAATATTAATTAAAAGTTAACAGTTTTAATAATACTGCTCCCTAACTTCCTAATATAGTTATCAATTTAGAGAATAATACAGTGGCTGGTTAAGCGTGACTGGAAAGCAGGGAGGTAGTGATGTTACAGAGACACCAATATGAATGAATTCTGTATTTTCGTGGAGCTCATATTTCTTCTGGAGGTTCAGATAGGTGCAGAGGTCTTTCTGCACATGGGACATTGAAAAATTGGGGCCTAAATGTCTAATTGATTTGATGGTTCATCGGTTATAAAGCACGTGTGCGCACTGCATCATTGGTTAGCTATGCAACATTAATCCTTAGATATCCCTGTGAAGTGGGTGAAGTAGTATCCATGTTACACCAGGAACAAATAGATATTTGGAAACTAAGGGCTTGACATGGATAAGCCAGCTGAGATGAGAAACAATGAGTTTCTTGCTTCCAGTCTTGTGCAGCACCTTGCGGAACACGGAACAGCTCCACTGTGAAACTAAAGGAAAGTGATGATTGTATCCTTCATCACAGGCAGGGTGCATGTTAAATTACAGCTAGGCTAGAGATGAGGAGTCAGCACTCAAGATTAAGCTACAACTCCTTGTTTTCTATGTCTTAGATAAGGGCACCAGTTCATTCTGGCAAGTGATGAATTTTTGTTCTAACAAATAGTATCTTTCTCAGAACACTCTTTAGTGTGTAGATATGTACTTCTGTATTATGTATAAATATTTATATTAAACAAACAAAACACAAGGAGGCAAGAATAAAATGAAAAATCTTTAAGCTGTGTGTTGTTGAGTATGTATACTTTCGTATATACAGTAAAGATACTGCCCATTTGGGATGTAACTTCCATATTTTAAATAAAAACTATAAACACTAGATATTTTAGCAGTATTTTAGGTCATTTTCCCACATTTTGATCTGCTTTGCATGTGAATTGCAGATAAATGAATCTTGTTATAAACCCTCTTTTTTTAACTAATGTCATAAATGATTAACATTTCATTTACTGTTTACATTCACACATTTCATTTACATATGTTGCTGTTTATACTGTTTAGTTATATTTGTGTCTACCACGATGAAATAGAGAAGTCAGAGTGGTTATTTGTGCTGATATTCATACAGTATCATTTTGTTATTAATTCATCTAATAATGCTAGAAGGACAGGAGACATGAAAAATATATACAGTCACGGCCAAGATTCAATATTATGAAAAGATGATCATTGTGGCAGCAGCATGGACTGGGTCATTGCCATTATTCAAAAACATATTCCAAAGATCGCTTTAAAAATCTTTACTTCTTTAGTTAGCAGGGCATTGAATTTTGCTTTTATTAGTTTGAAGTTGAACAGTATATTTGTTGCTTTTACACGATAGCTCAGTACCTTGAAATCTGTGCAGTCTGCAGCACTTAACAGTTAATTTAGGGTATTCAAAAAAGAAAATATGTTTTTCTCTGTTTCTGTTAATGTGTAATAGAAACCTGAGCAATAACAAGATTACCGATATCGAAGAAGGAGCATTTGATGGGGCCTCTGGTGTGAATGAACTATTGCTCACTAGCAACCGCTTGGAAAGTGTTCGACACAAAATGTTCAAAGGACTAGAAAGTCTCAAAACACTGTAAGTGTAATTATCTGGGTATTTTTATTCTTCCTTCCTGCCAGGTATATTTTGAAGTAATATTCTGTCTGTCCTAAAAAAAATTATTTTGGAGGATTAGCTATGGAATATTCAAGCATATCTTAGTTTTTGTTCCTATTTTACAAAAAGTTATCGTAAGTTGTATTAATTAATTATTACTTATGGATATAATGTATCTGAAATTCTTCATTGTGGTTACTTGACTACAGAAATTATGAGTCCTCTAAAATGATGAAGCAGTTGAGAATGGGTAAACATCCAGCTACAGAAACGGAAATGGGAATAATCATCTGCTTTAAAGTAACAGAATTTTGCACGGGCATTATACATTTTACATAATAGAGTCTGATTCAGTTCAGCTCAACCATTACCGGGAATTTTACTAGAGGAAAAAATTATTCTGGTGGATATTGAAATGTGGGAAATGATTCCCTCCTAAGTAATTTTAATGTCATTTCAACAGTGAAGGGAGGAGTAAAAGCACTATAGCTTGAACTAATTTCATGCTTTCCATGAAGGCAGTTTAGCTCTTTGCACTGAAAAAAAGATGTTTATACAATCTACAGTTTCTTGGCCTTCTTTCAGAGAGCCCGTCCTTCTGATCAGCACAGCAGAGCCAAGATTAAATGGTCTTTGGGACTTCAGGTCTCCATAGACATTAGGTATTTTTAACAAATCAGGCCTATCATTTCTAACTTTGCATTTAAAGCTGCTAAAATTGTTAGAAGCAGCTATTCTTAGACAAGAGCCTGTGGAAAAAATATTCATTTATTGATGGACAGATCGGAGAACAGCAAACTTCAAAGCTTGTATGTTTTACAGAAATATGAGAGATTTTAGAATAGGTGTTGCTTGCTTAGCATTCCTAACTTTTTACCAAATCTTAGAGTCATGCTGAGGAGGACTCAGGGTAGCCTGATTCCATTTAATTGAAATGCTTGAGAATGTAGTAGAAGTGGTTTCTAGAATTTATCCTAAGAAAATTCAGGTCAAAGGGGCCTCAGGAGAAGGTCAGTCAGTACAACCTTCTGTTCCTTGTGAATAGCAGTTCTGGAGTCATTAGGCTTAGAAACATGAAAAGGAGGCTGCTGGGTATCTCTGATTTGGGGAATTTCAATCAATTTAATTTATTGTCAATGAACAGACTCATAATTATCAATTCTGCTATTGAAAAAGAAAACAACCACAAAAGCTTAAGGCAAACACCTCTTGCCTCTGTGAAACCTACCCACCCACCTTTCTGGTTTCCAGTCCCCTCCACACACACCGCTCTCAGTCCCTTCAGTGAGGGGACAGGTGGCACAAGGGTCACTGCGCTGTGGTTCCTCCACGAGTGGCGGACTCTTTGGAGTCATACCTCTTGGCCCCTGCTCGGGCCACCACTTCAGCTCCAGACCCTGCTTGGGCTAAGCTAAGAAATGCTGATCCTTCCTTTCTCAGGATGCTGAGGAGCAACCGTGTGAGCTGTGTGGGAAACGACAGCTTCACGGGCCTGAGCTCAGTCCGCCTTCTCTCGCTGTATGACAACCAGATCACCACCGTGGCCCCTGGCTCCTTCGATACGCTGCATTCGCTCTCCACGTTGTAAGTCACGTTTGTGTTTCACCTTACCCAAATTTAAACCTCTAATGTTTTCAGGACATGTCTGTTAATGGTTTCCTGTACAATTTCACAACGTCAGGTAAAGTTAAGGGAAAAAAGGTTTTATAGAGGGATTTTTGAGAAAGTTTATTTTCTGGAGGGTCTTGGACACTTGAAGAGTATATTTTCATGGTGCGCTTTGATGCAGCCTTAGACTTGTTTCCAGAAGTGCCTGAGAAGGTCCTGCTCACCCCCCTTGCAGTAGCCTGATGATCTCAGCCAGGGTAGAAAGCCACATTTTGGGTAGGCATCGCACAATCGCAGCTGGTCAAATCACCATGTTGTCTGTCTTTCTGCACTGTACAGTCCAATTATTATCTTAAGTTTCCTCAGCCTGCTGAGGATCTTAATTCATACATGTTTAATAATGAAGCTTCTGTGTCATTTTCTAGAAAAAGAAGTATCCCTTTTTTTATTTAAACGTGATGTAGTTTAAGGGACGGGAAAACGGTGAGCAAAGCTGCCGCTCTGTTTACTGAAGAAATGGGTTTTGTAGGTAGCATCATTCAGGAAAGTACTTAATTCCCTTTTTACATAAAAAGTGACACTTTGCACCAAGTGAGTAATTTGTGCGCATTAAGGATGGCATGTTTATAAATAATGGAGTTGTCGATAGGTTTGTGCTGAAGTGAGGAGATGACAAAAGTACTGAGACTTCTAGAAGTAAATTCATTTTTATAACTGGCATGTAATCAACTTAGCTGTCATTTCAGATAGGAAACATATTCTCTGGAGCAAATAAAAGATGGAAATCTTGAGATGACAAATTAATGGAACAGCTTTTGTCAGGTTAAAGCTAATAACGTAAAGTAATCAGCCTTCATCTCTATATAAAACTGTTGTATTATCAGTACAGAGTGGCTTGACAAGAAGTCAGGTCTTTGACAGTTTTAAATTATTTCTGAATGAGTTATATCAAGATTCACCACACAGAGCCCAAATTACAGCTTTCACCTATGATTTGTACATAGTATTGTTTGAAGAATGGTATTTAAGCTTAGCTTTTTGAAAATAGAAGTAGAATACTTAGGATGAAAAAATGGTGTCATCCGAAGTAAACTTTCCTGTGGTTCTCAGAAACCTCCTGGCCAACCCCTTCAACTGCAACTGCCATCTCGCGTGGCTTGGAGACTGGCTAAGGAAGAAACGCATTGTTACGGGGAACCCTCGCTGCCAAAAACCCTACTTCCTCAAAGAGATTCCCATCCAGGATGTGGCAATTCAGGATTTTACATGCGATGATGGTAAGAAAATTAATATTTGAACTTTTTTGTAATTTCAGCTTTCATACGTATAGCTGCATGATTCCCATGGATCCCAAAGTCTTATGCTTTAAATAAATTCATTTGCGCTTCACGTTCAGTTTCTACTTCAGTTTAAAAACCTCCCACCCATTTTTGGATGATCAGCAAGCACACGGTTATTTTATATATGCTTTCAAAAATTTTTCTTACCTATGTTCAGTACCCTAAATCATAATTTAGAGATAATACAAAAATGAAATAAATTGATCAAACGTTGTAGTTCAGATGAGAATATTTTCAATTACTGATGCTTGAATCAAGCCCTCTTTCAGGTTACTTGATCAAATAACATCCCATTTGGCTTAGTTTGTGACTTCCTGAATGTCAGAATTCCCCTCAACGTTTAAAAAAAAGGTGCCTGCTATCTTGCAGCTCTCACACAACTTCCATTTATTCATTATTGGTTTGTTCACTTTCAAGGCTCTAACTTTTCTTTAAAGAGACTCTGTTAATTTTTAATTATTTGTTAATTTTGAGAATCAACATATATTTTGCTTTATTGTCTCTCATTTTAGGTTTTGTTACTTCTTTAATGATCTTTTTTCCCATATAATAGCATTTTTACCTAGTAAACCAGCATTGTACTAAATAAAGCATCATTTGAAATGTAAATTCTTGGAGTGATGGTTTACAGAGGTGATTTTCCTACCCAGCGATATCATCATGTAGACATAACATGTTTGCTTATCGGAATTCCAGGGGGGATATTGTTGCTAATACTGAAGTGACATTTCTATAGCAAGCTTAGCATCTGTTTGTTTTTATTAACCAGGAAATGATGATAATAGCTGCTCTCCACTGTCCCGCTGCCCTGCAGAATGTACTTGTCTAGACACAGTAGTTCGCTGCAGCAACAAAGGCCTAAAAGCTTTGCCTAAAGGCATCCCAAAAGATGTAACTGAACTGTAAGTGGCACACTTTTTTTCCCTTTTATGAAAATCAATGTCAGGTTCAAGAATGAGGAGAGAAGAATATTAAGAATTGGATTCAGTAGATCAGTTGAAATTTATTAATGTACTGCTTTGCAGATATAAAGACTTGCACAGTATCTTGAGAAATTTGAGGTTAAGTTTGGATGCAGTACTCTGTAAGTCCCAAACACTCTAAAAACTATCTGTTACTGAAAAGCTTTAATAATGTATGTATGTAAAATGGTAATCACTCTCAGAATTTGTATCCCCAACACTGAACCATAGTGTAGGTGAACATGGATATCATATTAGAATGAGTTTAATTATGGGCAACAGTGAATCTAATTAATCTATGGTCACTGTTTAGGAAGGAATAAAGAATTTCAATTACATTGAAAAACAAAAAGAAAACTATATTAATGTGTTTGCATATTTGCATATTAAACATGGTTTTGTGATATTTCAAAAAGACTGGTTTTAATAGAAAGTCTTACTTTTCATAATAGGCAGTCTTATACAATCTGGGATATTTTATTAAACTCTTGATACATTTTTATTTGAGAAAAATGGTTAAGATTACATTTTATGAAAAGATATAATTTGAATATACAGATGGACAGTAACATTGATATAAAAAAGATCTTGCTATCTCATGTATTGTTTGAAAATAATAACTGAATAAGCTACTCATAAGACTAATGAGTCAATTTTTATGCATTATGAAAGGGAAAATATAAACCTAAAAACAGGGTTATTCATCTGTTTTGAATCTTGATCAGATAGGTCACAAGAATGGAAGAAACAGAAATTACTGACAAGAAAAAAAATTGGTTTTGTGTTACGTATGGCAAGTATTTAATATTAAATTACTAATGCTGCATAATGACTGATTAATGTAGTGCTTTTTCAGAAGACATCATAACTCTGTATTTTAAGTCATTAAAGCAGTTTTATTGTTTTACCATTGGGTACTATACAGAAGATTCTGAAATGTTCATCACTAGTTTGGTGCTTAATAGCATCCAGAAGGCTTTAGTCATTAATGAAGAGAAATTATTAAGAACACAAATTAGCACACAGCTATATAAACCTATAACTTAGTTCATTAGGTTTTGGTGGTGTGGGGTTTTTTTCTCTAACAGAAGATGACTTAAATATAGTCTGGCCTAATAAATACAATTTGACAACGTAAGGCCATCAATGCAATGTAAAAATTAAGCAGCTAAAGAGAGATACTTTTGGAATTGCAAGTGGAACTCTGGCTGTGACTGAAAACTCATTTGTAAACAATTTTGTATGCTTTAATTAGTGTCTAAGCATGCAACTTAACATGTTTTTCAAAAGGATAATGGAGGCGGTTCCTGTTAGCAGTTGCATACTGATTGATTCTTCTTGTTCATTAGCATGCATAACCCTTCCAAGATGTACTCCTCATGTGTTTTATAAAATATCTTAATAGTTGCTTCATTTGAACAAGGAGGAATTTTTATCAGCGAAGTGGATACTTGTAGTACTTCAGTTCTAATGAAGCTAAAGCAATATATCCTAATTTATCTGTTGATAAAGGAATTTTCTCAGAATACTTACTCCTTCAAAAAGTTTAAATGTTGTTGGTTTATTTTTTAATAATTAAGTATACGAGCCCATGCTCCAATCATCACCATTTATGTAATACCATTAACATAGTATTATGGCAAGCAGCACTAAGGAAGGCATGGTCCAAGGGAGAAAAAGAAAAAAGAAAGAAAAAGCTATTTGATTAGATGTAGATAGTTATTTCATTAAGTTTAACTATGTTTCAGCCCATCCATTTAGTCAAAAGTTTCCAAGTATGCTGCAGCATACTTAAAGACATTAAACTCAAAATTAATCTAAGAAGGTCTCTATCAGAGGCTGCTTTAACTCAAGTGGGTCCCAAGCTAGAATATCTTCTGCATGGATGGCTAAAATATCTTCTTTGTATAGGGAGAATGAGGGTGTAGTTTTTACTTGGGTTCCAGGAGACACAAGTACTATCACCATAATACCACCATCAGCAAGCCATTTGCCCCAGTTGAGAAACTAAAGGTCTTTAATCTTCCAGCCACTGTCTGCTCCATTTCAGAGAATCGGGTAAATTCAGCACTTCTTATCATCTCTAAACTAATTGCTCGGGTTACGTGAAGGCCTCTCCACTTGCACTCTGTAATGACTGGCTGCACGCTGGAAGCTGTTTAGGCCAGGCTTGTTTCCTTCCTCTGCCTGTAACTCAGGTGCTGATACAGTTTGATGGCTCTGTACCTGTCTAAGGATGAACAAGTGTGTTATTGAGAAGTAGGAGCATGAAAGAAGAGTAAGTAATATAATACAGGAACAGTAAACATACAAAGACACAAAAAAAAAATCTAACTTTTCTAGTGAAGGGTAATTGATTACTGTGTTTAGTCCCTAACATACTCCATAGGAACAGGCCTGTAGTATGTCATGCCTGATATATCATAAAATATACAGGGAGAAATTAGGGAAGGTCACCTGAACTGCAAGTTGGAGCTGGGACCAGCCCTTGCTGTTTCTGTTGTAAAGGTCTACCTCTGCAGTGTCAGGGTCTGTTTCTATTTAGGGTAGCTCAAAATCCGCACTTCATGTGACTTGCAGAGGTCAGATTTACTTTTCACCTAGGTGTGTGTGAAAAGGACGTGATGAAGACCTCATTTTGAGAAGTCTTTAAGAAATAATAGAAAGTACTGTGTAGGAGTTGGTTGCTATTACTGTTACTTCATAATATTCATAATATCTGATATAACAGCATTTAGATCTTAGGCTACAGTTCCTCAGTTGTGTCTCTAAAACCCAAAATTTGAAGGCAAAGTTTCTTACAAAACAGAAATAATATGCATTCATTTGTTATTAACTTTACTGTTAGATTCTAAGATTAGTGGATGAAGATGCTACTGTTTTAATGAAAAAATAATGGTCCGTGTTTTATTTTTCTATTTTAGTTATTTGGATGGAAATCAGTTTACCCTTGTTCCAAAAGAGCTTTCCAACTACAAGCATTTAACACTTATGTAAGTAGTTTTGGACTAACATTCTCTACTGGAATGAAAAAAAACCAAGCCAAAACAAAAAACGCTACTCCATTATACCTGAGTTTAGTTATAAGAAAAAAACCTGTAAAATGTATCACATCTTTTAGCAACTATAACACCCAATGACATTTTATAACACGGAATATTTTATTCTACTTGTCACATCCTATATACAAAATACTTGGTCACATTTTATAAACAAGGGTATTTCATTCCAGTGATTGCATCACACAGTAAATAAGCAGAAATTATAGTTAACCTGAAAAGAGACATAAGACCTTACAAAAGAAACATTCTGTGATACGCTTCACTCCATGGTATGCTTCATATAGGAATAACACGTACAGCTGTTGTAGCACTTGGGTGTAACCCCTTTTTTTTCTCCCACAACATACGGTTTAATGACTCAAGAAGAGAGCTGGTCTAGAATGCCTTGCTCCCAGCTCTGTTGCTGACTCACTCTGTGATTTGAGGCAAATCATTAGCTGCTCTAAAATTTATTACCTCTACTTCATAAATGATTCGAATATGATTTTTATACCTTGTAAGAGTACAGTGAGAGAATCAGGAAGACTTGATGTAAACGACTGTAATTCTGTGGGCTCTGTTAGGACTATAAAAATTTATACCAGCTGAGGTTGGACTGTGTAACATTCTGAAAGCAGTTTGTGGTTTCATTATAATCAGAATAAAAAGTGGAGGGGAGTAACAAAATCCCTTAAATTTCTTTTTGACTGGGTTTAGAGCTTTGCTGAAAAAATGGAAAATGGTTTGGCATTCAAAACCAAAACTTGATTTCCTTTATTTACCTCATGCTAGACAAAAGTGGTCACGGTCACAAATCTAGAAAAAAATGTGTTTCCAAAACTTTTTGTACTTTCAAATAACATCAGGAAAAAAAAACATTGCAATATTCTCAGATGTATACAGTGTACAACCTGTAGGAAATCTTTGTGGATTGTTTAGGGAGGTTATACAAAATCTAACTTGCAGCACACAGAAAATATAAACTTTGGAACCTCAGTACAAGAAGCAACCTTGGTATTTTTTCAGGTTGTTCCACAACAAGTATAGATTGGACTAGAAGAAGCAAGCATAGATTGGATTGTGTGCAATAAAGGTATCAGTGGAGACTGGATATATCTCTTGAGATTAGGTTAATTAGAGGCATAGTGACAAGGCTTCCAATCACAGAGATTAGGTATTCATAGTCTATTTTTGACAAACACAGCCAGAAATCATGTAACTTTACTTCCTAATCAGAAAATACACACAAACAATTTAGCAGACAAATGAAATACAATAAATTATAGATGAAAAGTAAATAAAATGCAAATAAGATGAGTATTAACAGCCTCTATTTATCAGACCTGTGAGGCACATTATTGTAAGCTCTTCTAAATGTATCCTCATACTCCTGTTAGGAGGTTCAGAATGTTCCTCAGCTGTGTTTGGAAAACTGAAACACTATGCATAGTTCTTTTGTGGCCAAACAAGGAATTACATAGGAGTCTCCTGAGTTCCAGATTAACAAGGAAAAATGTTTATTTCTAACTTTTTCTTTCGCTTTTGAATAGATTGCTCTATTATACCTTCCTAATACATTTATTATTATGAGTCAGTTGTCTTACATGCTTTAATGAAATTTCAAGCAGAGAAATGTGTATTGCATAGCTATTCAACAGTACTCAAGTTAAAATACCAAGGTCCCCTCAGAAACAAATGCTGTATTTCACCACAGAATACAGTAAACAATAGTGAAATAGCCAACATAAAATGAAAACTAAAGCACAATACGAGAATAAAGAACAAGCAGTATCCACATTTAATACAGCTTCTTCAAAGCTTCTTTGAAGCTACCATCTTTGAAGCTACCAGCACACCACTCCAGCTTCCATCATACTTAAGCTTAAGATTTTATTCATTAGAATATTGAACAAGAAGAAAGATGTTAAGGCTTCCTCTATAAATCTCAGATAGCATTCTTTGTAATGATAGCTGTGGGCTTTGATGTCTTCAGTATGTAAGTGTTAAGTAGATGATATTTACTCAGGTGTCATTAGGGACATGACTAGAATGACTTCTACTTTAAAACATCACTTTCATTTCTATACTTGGGTTCATGTAGGACTGCATTATTAACTCGGTAGCATGATGGACATTGCTGTTGTATAAGAATGCATTGTGCTGCTTTTTCATCTGTGTTGAAATGAAAATGCTTTCCATTGATCAAGCTAAACACTTGCTGGGCTTGTATATGGCATGTGAAAATAAAAATATGTGCTGCTTTAAATATTGATACCAATGATGATACTACTTCTACTAATAAAAATAATGTGTCTGTCAGTTTAACTTACAGTGTTTCAGGACTGGGGCAGTCATTTTAAGGTCTGAATTTCTGAATTTATTTTTTATAGAGATTTAAGTAACAACAGAATCAGCACTCTTTCTAATCAGAGCTTCAGCAACATGACTCAGCTGCTCACCTTGTAAGTTTAAACATGTAACAGTGACTCTTTGGAAGCAATTACAGTGTTTGTTGGGGTTTTTTGTCTTGGAAAGAAAGGGCATTTAGTTGATATTAAAGCTTGCTTGTTGTGGAGGCTGTAAAATAACTTGTTTCCTAACTAGCTATGTGTGCAAAAGCTGGTGTTGGTCATGCTCTGCATTGTTTACTGAATGTCTGATATACTTGCTGAGAGTATTTTATATATTTTCAGAATTCTTAGTTACAACCGCCTGAGGTGTATCCCTGCACGGACTTTTGATGGGTTGAAATCACTTAGGTTGTTGTAAGTATTACTTTTTTAGCCATGGCTATTTTCTGGAATTTTTATTGTATACAGCAGATAGCAAATCTGTAGAAAGTTACTAGATTTTAAAATGATCATGTAGTGATAATTACATAGCCTTAAAAATCTAAATAACTTCATTCTGGGGAAGTATACTCTCAAAATGCTGCGCAAGAAATTATATGATCCTGGACAATATTGTATATACAGACGTACACTTTTTTCTTTTCTACTTTTTAATCTTGCCTGTGTTTCTTTTTTGTGTTATGTTCTTCCTCGTTATAAGCATTAAAGTCTTACCAAAATGCCATATGCATAAATTCCTCAGTATATATGAAGGGGTTTTGCCATTGAGCTTTGAATATTTCTATTACAACAATAAATTTCTTTCTTTATTGTTTCATTTACTATGGGAATATTTACCATTACATAACCATTACATCATGGTTAACTATTGAAAATCAATAAAATTACTTTTTTGGTTCCAAGAAATCTTTCCATTTTACCACTAGGAAAAACATGGTTGAAAGGGCACAAAAAGGTACAAAGGAAAATAAAGAACAGTCAGTCTAGTTTACAGCTTCAGTTTGTCATTAAGAAAGAAAAAACAACCAAAAGTCCCCAGCAGAACTTGTAATTTTTCCCTCCATTTGGGTATTTCATAACTATTTAATAGCTTAGTTGGATTAAAAGTCCCAAGCATGGCATTATTTAAGTGTACTTACATAACTTCAAATAATTTATATAAATACAGATAAGTTCAAGAACTGTAATTCTATATGTGTTAGCTATACATGTAACTGAATAAATTTATAGAAGATGAGACATATTTTTGTGGAGGATTGCTACAGGAGAGATAACACTACTCCTGGTATTGATGCTTAATAAGGTCTTTAGTTCTTTAACTTTACTATCAAAATAGGGCAACAACCTTAATACTTATATTAATGAACAGTCACTGCCTGTATTTTCCATGAATCCATGAAAGATTTAAAAAACCTATGAACATAATTAATGGGAATTTCAGGGAACTGATGAAAAAGTCAGAAATAATAAGTCTTCTGCTATCCCGAAATCCAATCTACTTTGCAGAAGTGTGCCTACTTTTACCTGCCTTTATTGTTTCCATTGTAAAAGAACCACATTATTAGCATTTCTCATGAAAATTTAGGATGAAAAAATTCAATTCTGAGTAGGCTGTCAGAGCTTAAAAAACCCCCACAAAACAGCTGGAAACACTGAGGAACTGGAAGAAAAAATGTGAAAAGATGGAAACTGGTTACAGAAGATGAAATTTGCAAAGTTAAGCTGCTGATTTTTATGCATATATGTTATTCTGTTAATTCTCTTTTTAAGGTCTTTACATGGAAATGATATTTCTGTTGTTCCTGAAGGGGCTTTTAATGATCTTTCAGCATTATCACACCTGTGAGTATTCAGATGATCACTGTATTTTTTTATATTACATTTAGCAAATCTTACAGAGTTGAACAAAGACAAAATGCAAAGGCCTGCTCTGGAACCAGCTCGTGCATCAGTACCGGCTGTGGACAGGCCAGAGAGGTAGCAGCTCAGCAGAAAAATCCTGGGCCTCCTGGTGGGCGGCAACTGAAGGTGTCTGCCGTGTGCCCTTATGGCAGAGGCGGCTGAGGACCCTCCGGGCTGAATGAGAAAGCGAGCAGCCAGGTGATTGAGGATAGCGGTCGCTCTCTTCTGCTTGGCCCTCCTAAAGCCACGTCTGGAACGTGTGTTCCCTTTCTCCAGTACAAAGCAGATGTGTCTGAACCAGAGCAAATCCAGCTTAGGGGCAAGCAAAGTGGGGAGGTGGCTGGACAGTGGGGAGCTGTGAGAACAGGCTAAAGCAATTGGGCTTACTTAGCCTGGAGAAGGAGATGCCATGGAGGGTCCTAACAGTCTTTAAGCCTGTAAGGGGATTACAGCAATGATGGAGACAGATTTTACTCAGAGGTTCACAGCGAAGAAGGAGAGTCAACCGTCACAAGCTGCAACAAGGGAAATTCGATTGAACGTAATAAAAAAATCTCCACTCTGAGGGTGGTTCAGCTTTGGAACAGGTTGCCCAAAGAAGCAGAAGAATGTCAATCCCTTGAGATTTTCAGAGCTCAGCAGGACACAGCCCTGAGCAACCTTGCTTTGACTTTGAAGTGAGCCCTGCCTTGTGCAGGAGGTGAGACTAGATGACCTCCAGAGTGCCCTAAATTGTTCTGTGATTGTGTCGGTGTCTGTTAAGTTGACATTAAATACATGGCATCTGATTTCAGAACATAATTTGAGGCGATACTTTTCCTGTTTTTAATTTTCAGTGGGAACCTAGATTAGAACAAGTTACCTATCAGTAAACCTTGTTGTGTTTATGGATAGTTATTAAATCTTTGCTTGCAATTGAGGAATAAGTTGACTAGTGCCTTTAGATATATCTGGGTTTTATGTTTCTGAACAGCTGCAGTTGTCAAAAACATAATTATCTGTTTCTAGTTCAGTATTGGACATTTACGTTTAATTTGCCATTTCTCAGAAATGTGATGATACTGATTAAGCTTTAAGGCACTGATAATTCATTCAAATGCTACTATTAAACTATCTTATCTGCATGAAATATCAGTAAAACTTACATAGATTTGATTGTTGTTGCTGTTATTTTTTTCTTAACGGCTACCAGTTATCCTTGCTGACATTCTGATTCTAACAGAGCAGTTGTGTTATCTCAGTTCAGGCTGACAATCACTCTTGCAAATATGGAGTGGACAAATTTTAGGTGTTTCTCCTGGCATGGGAAGTTCCCTATCACTAAGGCTGATTTTTGTTACTGCTCTGACTTAAGCCCGACTGAACAAGTATTTATAATTTCTTGTGTTCAGCTGGAAGTGTGTAGCGATAATTGAGAGGGCTTCCTGTTCAGTGTGGGAGAAGAGAATGTTTCCTCAGTGGTAGCTTCTACTGCCTTTGCCTGCCAAAGATTTTCATGTATCTTTAGAAGACCCACTGATCCAAAGTTGTGGAACAACCTGAAAACAAGTACTGAAACATCTGGAGAAGGAGGATGTTCAAATACTGCCATTTGACAGTGTGCGCAGATGTCAAGATTGTCTGTTGAAAGTTCTGTGATTATTGTCTGTCTTAAAAGGAATATAAATCTATAATATAATACTACTCAACGTATCAACTACACAACATATCATTGTTCTTTGAGCTTGTTCTCAGAGTTTTAAGAGTATTTGTAGTTTCTAGCAGAGAAAATAGATGCTTAAAAAGCCTTTACAGAAATTAATTCTGAAAATCTCTAGCTAAATTTTTTTTTTAATTTTAAAAAATCAGATGGATTTAAAAAAATGGATTTGATTTCATAACAGGGCAATTCTTATGTAACTACCACAAAGCTAGGATAATGCAGTTTTATTTACTTATGCAGCAGAGACCTTTTACAGAATTCTGCGCATAGCTGTGAGTTCAGTGGGAGCAATCCAAAGAGGAAATAATTAAATCAAATTTGGAAGCTTAGAAACAGATGGTTTGTACCAGCCTGGGAGCCATAAACTGGAAAGGAAAAATAGCAAGGTAGAACTCTGTGGGGTTGCCTTGGCTGCTTCGGAAGAAATACTTTATTCTTGCTAACTTAATTTCCCAGTATCAGTTTCATTTGCTGATGCAGCTGATCTTGGCCATTACATACCAATGTTGAAACAGAGCTAGTTAGTATTAGCTCACCAAAGTTCACACGTAATGCAGGACCAAGTTTACTGCTAAAACTGTTACTTTCGATTTAGGATACAAATCTAGACACTTCATGCTTTTACCGTCAATTTGGTGGAGGGAGGGCAGGTTTGTGTTTTGAAAGGTTTTTTACCAACCTGTTTTCTGGGTTCTCTTTTTAAAAGCAACCAGTTAAAACTTTATTCCCTTTTTGTTCGTCTGTTTTCCACAGGGCTATTGGAGCAAATCCTCTTTATTGTGATTGTAACATGCAGTGGCTATCTGACTGGGTAAAATCAGAATACAAAGAACCTGGTATTGCACGTTGTGCTGGTCCCGGAGAAATGGCAGATAAACTTCTTCTCACAACTCCTTCTAAAAAATTTACTTGCCAAGGTACTGTTGTTTTCTTCTCTTTGAAATGTCAATTTTCAAGTTTTACAAATAGTTGAGATGTGGGAATCCTGTGTGCTCTAAATACATTTATTATAGCATCTTCACTCAGCCTTGTCATCATTCTTCCTCTTACTTAGGGATGTAGCCATTGGTTCCATGCAGGAACTGTATTTATTGTAAAGACCTTAATGCCTATTTCTTTTCAAACAGTAGGTGGAGAAAAAAAGTCTTTGGACTTGCAGTACAGTATTCCTCAGTACATGGATGCACATAGGTACTTGGTACTGTCTCAGTCATGAACTACAATTTAAACATCTACACTTCCCTTAGCCAAAGAATATGCTTTTCCTTCAGACTGTTTAAAGAAAAAACTGAAAGTACATCCATAATCTTTGCAGTCTGCATTATCTCAGTGGTATGTAATTGCATCAATACGTCCAGAATGATTCCCAAATAACGCCAAAACCGTAGATAAAGGGATGTGATTACCTCTGCAGAGGTCTCATTCTAAAATCTTGTTATAGAGGAAGGCTTCTCAGGATTTGAACTAAGTGTATTTATCTCCATGTTGGTACCAATGTTGCTGGCATTTATATTACAACTTATATTATTGTCTGTTAACTCCTAGGTTCTTTTTCTGAAGCTTACTATTTTTTGGTTAGGAAAGTACCTTTTTTACTCATGTGAGAGGGAACAACTTTGTTTAATTTTCCTCTATTCCATCTATTTCTCCCTTCTTAAATATTTCTGTGGAAACACAGAAGACTTATGCTGTAGCTTCATTTTTCATGGTCCTGATTTAGCAACATTGAAATCCTCAATGGGAAGGAAAAGAACCCAATAAAATTTATGTGTGCTTATATTTGTAAGCCATTACTAAGCTTATAGTTATTTCTGAGGCATTAGATAAATATGATCTTAAGTCTTGTAGAAGTAACTTATTCTCACAGCCTACATAATCTTCAAGCTATTTTGATTTATTCATCTGTCAGTGTTTCTTCAAAGGTGAGCTTAATCCCTTTTTAATTTCTTCCTTTAAAAAGCAACGGGACTTTGTTGGAGTTTGTCTCATGCAAAGTCATTCTTTACTGTATGTTCATCCTATTTAGTCTTCTCTCCTTAGGCTTTCTGTCAAAAAACTTTTTTGTAAACAAAAAACACTGGAACCCATTTTGTTGCTTGTGATGCCAGTGAATTGTCTCTCCCTCCAGATCCTTCTTGCAGTTTTTCAATGGTACATCTCTGAGGTCATGCCAGTGTTCCCTGCATATGACGCTCATCTGTTGCGAAGTCCCTTAGTCTGATTTTAGATAAGGCATTTACTGGCCAATCTGATGGTTTTCTGTACAATCATCTGCTGAACATCATTGCAGATATGCTCTTAATACAGACTGTTGCAGGGATATAACCAAAAGAATATTTGCAGGGACATGAAAGACTGGTTTTGTTATTTTCAAGCTCTGTAAGTTTTAAAAACTGTATCATCCCTGCCCACAATCATTGTTATGTTTCTGTCAGACAATCCAGAAAGTATATCTTACTCCCTCTTGCCCATGAGAAAATATCCTTTATATTATTATGCAGGATAAGAACTGTATTTGTTTCTCTTCCAAGAGTGGAGATCTGGTATTATGGATACCTTTGAGAGAAAATAATTTTCCTGCCACTGTCCTATGAAGATGCTCATAATTACAGATTGCAAATCAGCAGCTTTTCAATGACATGATGGCCCTGTAAGACATTATGTGTCTGTTACTCAAAGATAAGTAATTTTATCTTTTGCTTAAAAATGAACTGCTGAATAAAAATTAGGAAGATGCTATATTCCCATTAGAACCAAACTTTTAGGCTCTGAGTTAGAGGACTGTTTTTGGAGTATCTGTTGGTGGTCTGCTATTGTGTATATATTTACAGAAAAAAAATAGTAGTGTGTAATTCCCTCTTATCAGTATCTCTGGATTCAATTGAAAGTGAAATGGGTGCTTGAATCTTACTTACATAATTAATAATTCCCAGTGAAAATGAGCATTTTAAAATGAAGTCTCATCTCAGTTGTAAAACTCCATTAAATCGCTGTACCTTGCTCTAATTTTATGAATTCTTCTACTCCAGGAATCATTCCTTAGTATTTTCTTCTTTCAGTTGCTTTTCTACGTTTATGGGTGTTTTTTTTCTTTTTTTTATGTGGCCTCTAACAGATTCTCAATCTTTTACTTTTACCTCTTTACTATCCATGCCCTGCTTCTAGAGATTCCAGGGCCTTGTGGTTTTCTGATACCAGGTAAGGTTATAAGTAGATCTGGGATGGGTGATCTGCTTAAGAATGGACCTTCTGACCTTCCTTTTGTGTACCTCAAGGAGACTTCTTTCCTAAGACACGCATGTTTTCTGTTTGTTCTCCCCTTTGATGAATTTACGGATGACTTTTCATGGCATATCATTTAACATATTGAACATATTGTATGAACAGTTCTGTTATTTTAAAAGCCTGGATTTGAGGTCTGAAAATTATCTGACATGATTGTTTCTACTGCATTGTACTAAAATCGGGGATTTCATTAGCAGCTGTAGTATATGTGAATCAGTGTAGATACTGATTTTGAGGCTGTATGCAAGACAGAATAGGAGTCATGAAATGTCAGAGCTCAAAGTTTTTCTTGCAACAGGTTTCTCTAGAAGCTGGTTTTGAGAGGGTTTGTGTCATGTTTTTCTTCAAAAACGTTAGATAGCTACATGTCTGTCAATAAAACACGTTAGTTTTCCACTGTTTATGAAAGAGTGCTTCTTATTTTTTCTTTTCTTTTAAAGATTTTTTCCAGTTAGGGCTTATTCAGGGATATATATCTGCAATAAGAAAAACTAAACAATAGCTTATGAATCCAATTCTTTTTCATATACAAGTCTTTTAACACATGCAAGCAGAAAGAGAAAAGGAACAGTATAGTGCAAATGAAAATAGGTTCCAGAATTGCCTTTCCATTAGACTTCAGTAAAAATATCTGAAATATTTCTATTTTTTGATCTTAGAATCAAAGAACGACAAATCAAAATGTCAATTTTTGTTGGATACTATATACATAATAGTTTGAAATAAATGCTTACAGCACACAGATACAGTGTTGTTTACTGTCTTGTTGAGACTTAGGTTCCCATTTTCTGTTTCTGTTTTGGAAGTGAAATTTAGATTGCTAATCTGTTTGGGAAAAGAACCTTAGTTACTGATTTTTTTTTAATTCATGCCAAATAATTAGCATTTTTTTGCATGAGAAGTAGAAAAGAGTGTATGATGTTCAGAATAAACAGTCGAGACAAGGAAATGTAGACTTCCAGACTGCAGCAGAGTGTTAGAAATTTTTTTTAAGTATGTGCCTCTGCACCTTACTTTTTTCATAGAACCTCTTAATGTACTCTAGCAATAATCAGCAATAGTCTAGAATACACAGGCAGTACTTTCTAGATGTTAATTCTACCTCTGCTGTTTGCTGGTCTAACAGAAACTTTAATCGGGTATAGATTTCTCTTTCAAAATAAGGTAACAAAGACAAGAATAGCCAATGATCCATCCAGATTGTGGCTTTGGCAGTGAGCATCTTATCACAGGTTACCATGTTCATCTCTTTGGATTTGCTTGCAAGCTGTGACACAGAAGGATACCAGCAACTGCAGATTTAGAAAAAATAAAAACAAAAAATACCAACCTCTCCCTTCTAACACCCCCTACTGAATCCTTATAATCACATGGCTTCCTTCCATGCCAGCTCCTTTACAATGATTTATCTGAGATTAATTTTGCAGAGGAAAATAAGTAAAGAATGTTAAGAAAATCTTAAGTTTAAAAAAAACCCAAACACCACCCAGATCTCAGTAAAAGTGCCCTGTTAGCTCGGAAAACTTTGCAGTCTGGCTCATTTTGGGTAAAACTTGTTATGAAGCAATCACGCGGTTCCACTAGTAGGTCTCAGGAGTTTGGGTTTTATGTCTAGTTAGAAGAAATCACTGGTTATGCCTTAAAATGTAAAAATCACCTGTGGATAACTAAAGGTTTTTTTCATAGGTGTAATCTGAAATCAAGCTGGAGGCAGTAATGTTATCAGGCAATAGAGCCTGAGATAGTAGAGAATGTATGTTCGTTCTCTTAATAAGCATTTGGCCAAGTCACCCATTTTCTCTTACAGGAATCAATATTTTGTCTATCAGAAAGTGTATGAAAATGAACCATTATTTATACAGAGGTCATTTCTAATTTTTAACAAATAACCAATGATTGCTTTGGTCACTCAAATAAAAAAAAAAAAAATCACTGTTCTTAACTTGAAATTTCACCATGAAAAGTCTGTATTAAAATTTTAAAACAACAGAAAAATAAATAAATATCTAAAAAATATTTATATAATAGGGAAAAGATTTATGTAGGCCACAGCTCTAAGTTTGGCTTCTGGAACTTAAGATTTTGTCAATATTCATTTTTGAATTCTGTCATTATAATCATTAATGTAAGAAACTAGTCTGCAAGCATGGATTGCAGTCCTCATTTGATCATAGATTCATGCTACAGTTTGCATTATTTGTGGGCTCAGCTAATGCAGTAATGCACAGGACTGTGGCTGACTCCATAAGGCAGCAAAGCACAACATGGAGCTATTTATGATGAGATAGTTTGGACAATGCAATTTCCATTACAGTTCACAGATGTTCAGCCAATTTACAGGTAATTTTATTGGTTTATTTTGCCATCTTTGGGATCTTGGAGATGAAAAATAAAATGCATTAAAAACAGTGTTCTCAGTAACACCATCAAGAGTGGGATTGCAAACTGTGATAGCCCTTTTTCTCATAGGCAGTTTTTACCCCCTGAAGAGGCAGAAGCTGAAATTGTATTCTTCATTATGTTAATATAAAGGGAAGGTTTATCATGGATCAGAACCGTCCAGATTTCAGAGAATGGGGATATGGGAATGACTTTGGTGTCAGCTTCTTTTTTTTTTTTTTTTAAGTGATAATTAAACCAAAAATACAACACCAAAATTTTTTTTTGTCATGTCAAAAGAATTAAGGACAGTCCAGAATTCCATTCATATAGAAACACCACAATGTCTAAAATACAAATTTTATTTTAAAATTAAAGCAACATGGCAGATATATACTGTCAAATATAAATTAATAGTTGTTTGTTTCTGACTTTGCAATTTGTATTTTTAAGGGCCTGTGGATGTTAGTATTCTTGCTAAGTGTAACCCCTGCTTGTCAAATCCATGTAAAAATGACGGAACTTGCAACAATGATCCAGTTGACTTCTATAGGTGTACTTGCCCATATGGTTTCAAGGTAGGTACTGAATGAAGAGGAGAAAGCCTTACTGAAATGTAAGCCTCTCCTTAAAAACTTTTAAGTTTTATTTAGCTCCCTTCCACTAGTGTCTGTATTTTCTTCTTAAATTACAATTGTTTGTTCCCTGCATAGGGTCAAGACTGTGATATTCCCATTCATGCTTGCATTAGTAACCCGTGCCACCATGGTGGAACTTGTCATTTGAAAGAAGGAGAAAAAGATGGCTTCTGGTAGGTTGTTTTTAATTGCAATGTCAGGATGGAAAACTACTGAATTTTACATGCTGAAATAATTTTAGTGTTAATCTTTCAGTTCTCTGTGTTTGCTGGTAAGTGCACCACAAAGGCAGATTTTCAGTGATGCTGAAGTTTTCCAAACATGTCACCATCCTTGGAAAGCTTCTAAAGCTTTGAAACTGTTAAAAACAATAACAAATGATTGTGATTAGTTGAGGCGTATCAGGTCAAGACAACATAGTATTGACTCCATTATGCTAATTAATAGCTATCTAGATCCCTGCTGAAAAAATCTCACAATTCATCTGTTGTCAAGTGTATTACTTCAATAGACAGCATGTAAATGATAAAATGTAAATCCCAGTGAAACAGAAAATTAATGATTCATTTGAAAGTCACTATGCCAGCAGATAAACATGCTGTGAGCATTTTTAATCTTGAGTTATTTAATCACACAGTACAATTACTCCAGATGTACTTCATGAATTATGAAAAAAAGTTCTTTAGCATTCTTATGTGAAATTATTAGTCATTTAATAATCTACACCTCAAGCTTGTTAGAAGTGACACTTTAAAAAGATACAATTCATTATCCTGCAATTCATTATGACATTATTTTTTAATCCAAATTCTGCCCAAAGTTTAAATAATTTTTTATGAAAAATCAAGCATATACATCTTAATACTATGCCTCTAGAATTTAAAGTGACATAGTCACGTCTCATAATTTTCCTTTTTCATTTATTTGTTTAAACACTACATATTTTGAAAATCAAAGCAATCTTATAATGAAAACTGCAGAAATTACAGATAGTGCGTATTACATGAAAATGTATGTGTAGTCATGTTTGAGTGATCTTTTACATTTACTAACTATTTTGATGTATTTGTTTCATAGGAACATACTTGAAAGCAAAAAAAAAAAATCTTCACTGCTTTGAAGAGTTTATACAGGCTTTAGTTTTATATATTTGCTTTTTATATTAATGCATGTATTGTGCATGGAACGTTAAACAGAGCTTTATAACGGTGCATTTAACTGAATGATAGTGGAATAAGACTCTTACATACTAATCCCTGATTCCACAGTCTTTTCCATATGTTTAACTTCTTTAAAAAAAGGATCACTTTCCATAAGAAATCTAATCTTATAATATAAAGGTAGCATAGTTTTCAAAAGGAATGTTCAGTGATTTATTTTAAGAAGCTCGTTAAACTAAAGATCAAGGCACAAACTTAGAAGCTTTTTTTCTGTAATTTAAAATATGAAACATATTTTGGTAACATTTATTGTATGTTTTTTTACATTATATGAACCATGTTCCTTTATCAGATAGTGATTATGAATTAAATTACAGAATTTCTTGTCTTCTGTTGCCAGCTAAAATGTCCATGTAGTTAGTTTTGTTTTCTGTATTACAGGTGCACTTGTGCAGATGGATTTGAAGGTGAAAACTGTGAAGTAAATGTTGATGACTGTGAAGACAATGACTGTGAAAATAATTCTACTTGTGTGGATGGAATTAATAACTATACTTGCCTTTGTCCACCTGAGTATACAGGTAGGAGTATAAGAGAAAGTACAGGTGATTCAAGAATTCCTAGCAGAACAGTAATATTTTTCAGTTTGTAGGTGAATTAGTAGTCACTCTACAACTGACTTAAAGCCAGGTTGTCCTCCATATTTTTCTTCTATATGGTTCGTAGTCAAAAGTAGACTTAATGCCCACTCATTAATTTCTTTCTTAGTTTTGAAATTACAGCATTTTGATATTTGAAAGATCACTAAAAATCTGTCCCTCCCTACTGTTTATCTAACCCAGACACCCCAGCGAAGAACGTCTGTAGCTGTAGAAATCTGAACAATATTCTGCTTTTATCTTGTATATGTCATGTTACTAACAGGGCAGAAAAGGACCTGTCTGTGCCAGTAGGGAACTGAGTTTGTCACCTCTGGATGCTGTCCTGCCCTCCATTGGAAACATTAATGCAGAGCATGATGCTTTTTGTTCTAGCACCAAAAAAAAAAAAAAAAAAAAATCATTAGAGTGTGTCTATTTGTTTCCATCCATTGGCAGCCAGGCGAAAGCATTCCCCCCTCTTTGATACAGGGGGTCTCTTCCTTGCTGTCATCGTCTCTGTGGGAATGTAGGATAGTTAGAACAGCAACACTGGCGAACAAGAAGTAGGATCTGTTGTTTACATTGATTGGTTTTATAGTTTTTCTGATTAGACAGAGCTATTTTCTGTCAGTTGAACATGAGGACAACACAGAGGCTAAATTCACAAAAACATCATTTGAAATGCGTAAAAAAGAAATGTAAAATCTACCATAACTTGAGAATTAACTCTACTTAGTCATCCTATATCTTTAATCAATCAATCAAATTTGAGCTCTGGAGAACTGAGAGGAGAGGTAAACTCCTGAATTAATGTCATTTATTGAAAACACAGCTGACTCCTTTTTGATCCATGGTATTTCCATCATTACTTCTACAACCTATTGAATTACTCAAATATTTAGGTTATTCAAATTTAAAGTCAATATTTAAATCTTGGAAACCCACAGTGAATGAAGATGATAGAACACAGGTATAAGAAGTACAACTTTATGATCTAACATACGTATTCATCCATTACTTATGCTGGGTAATTGGTAGAAATTTCCCCATACAGAATAAGCTACAGTACCTATAGCAATATGGGTTAAAAATACAAGTAGTCAGAATAAGGTATTTAATAATAAGTGGATGTTCCACATCTGGAAGAACAGACATAATCTTCTGCCTGGACAGATTACTGTTTTGCCAAGTACTGATACCTTAATACCTAAAAGCAGTCCATAATTCAAGCCTTAGAAACAAGTAACAGGTAACAGCAGCAATGAGTAGAGAGAGGTGTTTGCTATTTCTCCTATAACTAGTATTTCAGTTATATGCGAGTCAAGCTTCAGCTACCCTGGGATCAATTGCTATCTCCTTTAAAAAACTGATCAGATATTCTACTGTCTAGGCTGGAAGAAGGCAGACCAAAGTCGTGTCAGTCCCGTATTCCTGCAGTCCAGTATTCCTGTTTCAGTGGCTTCATGCTAAGTGGTTTCATATATCTATTAGATAGTAGACAATTCATTTGCAAGTGCACTCCTCTTCTGCAGCTTTGCAGGTCTGTTTACCTGTGTTGTTCATGTCTTCATTTTCAACATTGGTCTAGGTGCATTTAATTGCTAGAGCCAATAGCTTGCTGTATTCACAGTATGCCATGGGAAGGACTGTTTTGTATTAAATATCCATGAAGTGGATAAAAAGGCCTGTCTACATGTGCTAGCTTAAAACTTTGATTAAGTGTGCCTGTTGCATTTCTGTAATATTGCAACTGAAATGCACATTTTACATTTACGATTGAAACGGCAGTTGTAGCATTTCTCTGCACAGCTACATGGTTAGAGCAAAAAGGATACCATAAACATTGGTAACAATTTTGATGTTTGTATTGCAGTTGTGCTTTTTCAGTCAAAATACAAGAAAATGTATTTTTTAAATTTGATTCATAATTGTGCATAACTATAAAAGAAAATACTATGAGTTTACGTGGCAAATGTTTTTTTTTTGCTAACTGTAATTATTTCAGAAAAAGAGATTTGATTTTACAGATGCAATGCCTATTCATAATTGCAGAGTAAGTCATGTGAGCAGGTGAAAATCTTCTCCCCAGCTCTAAAATAAATCAAAACAATCTGCTTGTAATCAGTAAGTTTAGTTGTTCTGTTTTTTAATAAATGTTGAGAATTTACATTATCTCATCAGATTTTTTTCAACTCTTTACCAAAACCAAAGGCACATGTATTTTTTAAACATACAACACCAGAACCTTAACTCATTTTATAGATAAGTTGGGTAAACATTGTAGCAAAAGTTCAGGTTTTCCATTCCACAGGATACAGTACAGAATTCTACAATATGCTATCTATCTTACAAAGTATCTGAGGGCAGGACACAATGTGTGAGATCCTAAGTAATTTTTGAGATTAATTGTAAAGAGGAAATATAAAACATTGAGCTCGTTGAGGGGTCTTCATGTCCATCATCTTTGATCTTGCATAATAATTAAATAACCTTCAGTGTGCACGAGACTAACAGCAGTCTGGAAACAGCAGGATCTAAAAATGGTAGTGTTCAGAATATAAAGTAATCTTACAGTTGCCTCAAGTGTGTATGAGGTACCAAATTATTTATAGGATTTTGTTTTTCTCTAGTCTATAGCCCGATTTGAAAGATAAGTAACAGAATCCCTGTCCAGTATGGATACAGTGATTTTGATGAAGAACTTTGTAAGCTTTGGAATTTTGGTATGTTCTGACAGGCTGAAAACAGATATTCATATTGCTAATGTGTTTTTTTATGAAAAGTATTTTTCACTAAATGAATCCACATACTAGCTGGGCAAAAGTAGGTTAACAACCAGGAAAACAGGCTATATATTAATTACGTAAAAAGATTTTTAAATTCAAAGATACTTCTCTCTAGCTTGGAAAGTCCCTGAGCTCTTAGTTGCTGGGGACTGGGACAGTATACATACCAGGAAAATACCACTGTAGGCTTGTCCTGTTCTCTTGTAATTCTGTGAGCAATACTTCAGGTTGTCTGTGTTCAAGGTGTCACAGCATATAGGTACTGAATGTGGTAGTGCACCAGCCCAGAATATTTTTCTGAGTGAATAGTTACCTGCAAATATGCTTTACATTTCAGTAGCACAGTATGAGGAAGAAGTCAGCTGAAAGCTGCTGGTATGAAATGTAAATTGTTCTTCTTTGAAGTTTTATTTTCATGTGGAGGGCTTGTTAGAATCTCAAATTAACTCTGAAAATACATACAAAAAGTACAAAAAATGTGATGAATGTTGCAGTGCAAAACCAGTCACTTTTTCACTTTTTCTAGCAAGTCCCTTGAAAATTAACACTTCTCAAGCACGTAGCGTTGATTTAAAAACAATCAGGAAAGCTTATTGTTTTGTTGCTTAAGAACCAGGAAACCATTTTTCTCTGCCTCAGTTAAGTTTTACAATTACCTGCATGGTTACAGGTGGAAAGACAAAGAATGGTATTTGCACTATACTACGAGCTTTCTTAAGATCACAGGCTGTAACTCTGAAACAACAGTAAGCAAATGGAACCAGTGGACACTCAGTGTGTCTGATGAAACCCTGAGAAATAAAACATTTAAAATACTATGTCCTGCACTCTTTAACTTCGCTATTCTCTTAACATTATCATCTCCTTTATTTTAACCTCAGTCTAGTAAACTTCAGGTCATTTTATGTACATTCTATAGATTACAGATGATCATTTCTCTTGCTCATTATCATCAGTCATTAGATCATAGATCTAATTGATCCAAAAGTAAAGCCTTTCTCATGCCACCAGTGGCATGTACTTCTTACCTTTTCTGTTTGTTTTGCTCTGCTGTAGGTGAGAGATTGAAGCTTGCTTCTTTTTTGCTATACCAACCTCTCTGCTGCTGTAGTTGTGCATTAGCTTAATGTGCTATGCTGTTGTATTACAATGTAAAAAGTCTCTTGTCTCTTCTGTCTTTGTCACTGCAAGCTGCTAATCTGAATGAAGTGGAAAAAGGTCAGTTGTCTTTTAAGCCTATTTTCACTTACTTTTGTTTCTCACTTTCCTTTCCTTAAAGGTGCATGGATTTCAGTTCTTACAAATGATCAAATAAATCGTATATAGATATAATTTAGAAAGCTCACTGCAAATCCTCAAATTAGGCACTTGGCTCTATCTGTGAATACATGTCAGAAGAATGTCATTGAAGATGCAGATCACTGTGCAGGAGTACTTTGATACTACCTTCGTTGTCTTTTTTTCAGATGTATTAAAAATTTGTGCAGCCACTGACAGGACTAACAAAAAAGTTCACATTGTGATCTTCTGAAATCTTTATTCTCATCACCTTAAAGACATACCTTGGTTCCGTTCTAATGTATTCTCTGTTTTGCTTTAATTACTTTGTTAGATTATGGTACTAGAAACTATGCTGGCATATAAAATTGCAATCTTCTTGCTCATCATTTCTATGGCCTTTTTTGCTGTAAATGTCTATAGAATCTGAAATGACCACATTAAGCTGAGGCTATGGTACAAGAAAGGTCATAGTGGAGGTATTTATGACATGAACTTTGGGTATTCATGATTTTTAATTTTTAAGTTTCTGCCTAACACCTATCTCACTAACAGAGATAAACCATCTTCTGTACCATCTGATCATCTATACAATCTGAGAGTTAACATAATCATGACAACATATTTATGAGCTTACATATTTAATTTTAAAAGCAAATGAATCTTCTTGTAGTGTATTTACCATTAATTTAATTTGATTTGATAAATATATTGTGCAGTCTATAAAGCATTATAACATTTCACTAGTAATAAAAATATTTTCATTATCCATGAAGTAGCATGTTGATCGAGGCTGCAATTATGCCATCTATGTTGATTAATTTAGACATCTGATGAATAATTCTTACAACTTAAACTCAGAGCCTAAATTCTCTC